CACCTGAAGAACTCAGTGACGGCAACACGCTGGGCACTTGTATGTGCCAGGCTCTGTGAGGGGCACAAGGCTGAGATGATCTGTGGGGGAGGCTGCAGGTTTCATGGTCACCCCAGAAGTAGTAGCTTATCAAGCAAGCAGTACTGGAAGCCCCGAATCAGCTAGAGGTTCAGGATGGGGTTGCTCCCAGAAGTGAGTCTAGTCCTGTTCTGGTATTCGAGCATCTGATGCTATAGTCCTACTTGAGCATAAGCTCCCCGTGGGCAGAGGCCTGTCTGGGGCTCACCACTGCATCCCTGATCCCTAGAAGGGTGTCTGGCAGGTGTTAGATGAATGCTTCCGGCCCTCGGGTCTTCGTGTCTACAGACCATATTTGTCTGTAGTATTCAGCGTTGGGAGTAAATATCAGACGTTTGCCAGTTTTTCAATTCTGAGGCAGGACTGGCATCTTTCCATAGTAAATAAAGAGGGGGAATCCTGATGTGGACATGGCCCACAGCCAGAAGTCTGTGCTTTGTGTAATAATTTCTGTGGGCATTGCAGCCTTGGAGAGCTCTGTATTTACTGATTATCAAGAGGCGCGCCCTGGAGAAGGTGGGCTAGGGAGTTAGGTTTTGGTATAATTGTATAGCTGCTCAACATCCTTTGTGGCTCAGTGGCTGAGCGTCGACCCATGAACCAAGGGGTCACCAGACCAATTCCTGGGTTGCCAGCTTGATCCCCAGTAGGGGGCATACAGGAGGCAGCCTATCCATGTTTCTCTCTCATCGATGTTTCTATCTCTCTCTCCCTCTAAAATCAATAAAAACAGCCCAGCCAGGCGTGCCTCAGCAGTTGAGCGTCGACCTAGGATCCAGGCGATCAGGGTTCGATTCCCGGTCAGGGCACATGCCCGGGTTGCGGGCTCGATCAATGACTCTCTTATCATTGATGTTTCTGTCTCTCTCTCCCTCTCCTTTCCTCCCTCTGAAATCAATAAAGATATATTTTTAAAAAATAAAATCAATAAAAACTTTTTTCTTTTTTTTTTTAAAAAAAGAGGTTTGGTTCTTCTTGGGTCAGCAAGCTGTGTTCTCCACCAGATGGAATCGGCATCTTTGCACGCTCGGCCATTTGCGTTTTCAAATTGATTGTTGGGGAGAACTGGATCCTGGTGGAGAGGGGGACAGTCAGGAGCCAAGAGCTTGGGCCCATCTCCTCCTCTGGCCATTTGTAGAGCCAGCCCTACCAGAAAGAGCAGGCTTTCCCTGAGCTCGGCCTCTGGTGAGAACCTGTCAGCATGGGGGAGGAAGGCCTGGCCTTCAGTGGGATGTGGGCAGGCCAGTGTTATCAGAGATGTTGATCTTGGAATATAAGAATTATTTCTTGGCAGCAACTCCAATCTTCACTTCCCTTTCCAGCCCTTGGTTGTCCAGGGGAGGCTGGCTTGCAGACAAATGTAATCCAGTCAGCCAGCCAGCCATTCACCTAAAAGATTTGTTGAGCAAGGCCCTAGGGGCATAGGGCATGCAGCAGGAATCCATCATTGCCTGTGGCCTCAGGGAGCTTGTCCTGCTCTATTCTGGGCTGTGATGAGGACATTGTGTTTAAGTGGCTCTGTGAGCTGGAATAAGTCCCTTGGTTTTGCTCCAAGGGACATGATCCCTGAGTCAGAACTGAAGGGGCCCTCCGGAATCAGCCTTCCCTGTCCCCACCTGACACAGGGAGGAAACTGAGTCCCACAGCTAGGAGTGGCATCTCCAGCACCAAAACCTTTCCCGGACACATGAACAGTATTTTACCATTTTAAAAGTAGCAGTTTGATGATATCTGCTTTGTATTTCCATCGTAAACCATTAGTAGGACATTACGCTTATTCTGTTCTTAATTGTTGCATCCAGATACTTAAATTGTACATTTACCTATTTTGTGTAGTGGCATAGATTTAACGCAGTCATCTGAAGGTTGGAGATGAACAGTATAGGTGATAAATTTCCAGGGGGTGGACTTGGTAATACGCTGGTGGTGGAGACAAGGCCTGCTGGTCCCTGTTCCGAGGCCTTCTCTGAGCTGTTCACCTGGCCTGTGAGTGTGTTTTCTCTTACTGCTCTGTGAGCCACGCCCTCGAGCCTCGGAATTGAACCAGTGGTGTTTTAAGCTTTACGGTTTGCACGGCTCTCTCCCAGAGTAACATGCTGATAAGGCTTCTTTCATTTCTGTCATTTAAAGGGCATCTCCTGGGCAGTTGGCTCAGTGGTTAGAACAGGGGGTGGGGAATGTGGAAGTCATTTGGTCTGGCCCTGCCAAGGCAACCGCCGGGGGGAAATTCAGTAAATCTAGGAGCTTTTTTCATAGCTAATGTTTAAGTTGATAATTTTGTATGGCTTGTGAATGATGTTATAAATATCCACATGGCCCTGGGCAGAAAAAAGTTTTCCAACCCCTGAGTTAGAGCATCAGCCTGCAGACCAAAGGGTCGCAGATTCGATTCCTAGTCAAGGGCATGGACCTTGTTTGCAGATTTGATACCCGCCTTGTGCAGGAGGCAACCAGTCGATGGGTCTCATATCAGTGTTTCTATTTTTGTTTTGTTTTTTCAAATATTTTTTATTGATTTTTAGAGCAGAAGGGAGAAGGAAGGGAGAGATAGAAACACTGATGAAACATCATCAATCAGCTGCCTCCTGCATGCCCTCCACTGGGAATCAAGTCCACAGCCTGGACATGTGCCTTGATCGGGAATCAAACTGGTGATCTCTTGGTTCCTGGGATAACACTCAACTACTGAGCCACACCAGCTGGGCCATATGTCCTAATTTTAAGTAAAAAACACCAGAGCAGTGCAGTGCGGTGTGGGGTGTGGAAACCGTTGCAGGCGGAGGCGGTCCCACAGGCTGCTGGTTGTGGCTGTGGCTGTGGCTGTGGCTGTGGGAATTTTATTGTCCTGAGCTCATACACCCTGGCTCTCTCTTATTGTGCAAGGTCACAGCTGATACAGAGCCATAGCAATGTGGCCTGTGGTCACTTGGAGGCCACGTGCTCCCTCTCTTCTAAAGCAGAAAGCATGTGGGACAGGCTTCCACATTTCCTCCAAGAGCAGGCCCAGAGGGTGGCTTTGTCCTTGACCCTGTCTGGGTGAAATCTGTCACCCAGGTGGCTTCACCGAGGCCAGGCCCCTCCCAAGCCCTGTTCCCTTGTTGCCCCTTTCCTGGGTTGTGGCTTGTCTCTGTTCTGTCTGTAGGCTCTCTTCTCATAGTCTGTTACCCTGAATTGCTAACCTCTATTAAATTGTTAAAGCTAAGAAAAGGTATTAGCTGAAGGTGGGTCCAAGAAATGGCTTTTATCCCAAGTTGTTTGCTTTTTAAAAGTGAATGCTGACAAATTAGAGATGGCAGAACTTCTCAGACCACTACCTACCTCCCAGAGCCTATGAGGAGTAGGTACCATCCCTGGAGAAAGGCCGCCCCCTCCGACTCAGATAGTTCTGGAAAGTGATGGTGGGGTCTAGGTTCATGCTCAGTCTTTGAAGGGATTTAGATTAGAATTCATGTAATTATTTTAATAAGATGCATGTGTATGCTGATGTTAAGACCACAGTTTAAAAAGATAGAAAATGAGCCCAGCCGGTGTGGCTCAGCGGTTGAGCATCGACCCATGAACCAAGAGGTTATCAGTTCGATTCCTGGTCAGGGCACATGCCCAGGTTGCAGGTTCAATCTCCAGTAGGGGATGTGTGAGAGGTAGCCGATCAATGACTCTCTCATCATTGATGTTTCTCTCTCTCTCTCCCTCTCCCTTCCTCTCTCTGAAATCAATAAAAACTTTTTCTTTTTTTTTTTTTAAAGAACAAGAATTTATCGTGTTCACTGGAAGAATGGAGGTTCATGCTAGTCGCATTCCACTCTCCAAGGAGCCAGGAGATCCAGTGTTATTTCCCTCCTCAGCCTCGGTTGCTGGGCTGAAACACAGGATATCAAAACCGTCCAGGAAAAATTTACTTTTTTTTTACGTTGGTACTGGGCCAGATCCCTTGAGGTTGTTTCCAGGCTCGTGATTTTGAAACACTGAAAAGAAAATCTGGAACCTAGAGTTAGTTTTCATTTCGGGATTGCAGTCTATTTTTCATCTGAGTTTTGTTTTGTATCATCAAGCTGCTTCCAATATTCTTGTGCTTTTTATTGCTCATGGAAGAATTGCCTTAGACACGGCTCAGAAATCCAGGTAGCCTTCCTTAGATGTAAGAAACAAAACTCCCTTCATTCTGAGCAGCCTGTGGGTAATCTGCTTCCCATGGGCTGTCAGACTTCCCCCCACCTGGATGTGTATTTGACTTTCTGTGGCTCCTTCATGGCCATCGGTTATGCCATCCTTCTGGCTTATAAACATGGTAGGCCCTGGCCCTTTGGGGAGGAGCCCAGATTTCACATCCTAAGTGGTGACTGAGCTGCTGCGACATCACATGTAGCATTTGGAGGGCTGAGTGAGTGGTTCTGTAAGGGACATCGGTGGCCTCATAGATAGGACCTTTGGACTGGGTCTCAAGGAGCAAGTAGTTTACAGGTGGGTGTTAGTGCAGTAGGAGCAGGGGTCATGCGGAAAAGGTTCTAGTCTTGTGGGGTGTGAGGCAGTGTGGGCCAGAGCACCATGCCAGATGGCTCAGCCCTGTAAGCCATCAGAGAGTGCTAAGCATGGGACACTTGGACACCAGTTAGGGTGCTGCTGCAGAGACCCGAGTAGATGAACAGGGGAATGTTGGGGAGCATGAATGGGAGAGACTGACAAGGGGGCTCTTTGGACTTGAGACCTTGTGATCCTCTGATGCTGGACACGGTCTCTCTCCTCTATCTTTGGGCTTCTTCCTGCACACTGCAGTCTGTTGCTAAGAATGTCCTTAGAGCAGAGCTGGTGGCCAGGCTGTGCCGACGCCCTTTGATGTGCAGATGACCAGTCTGTGGTGTGGGACTTGTCCTTGCCCACGAAAACCACCACCCTTACAGGGCTTTCAGTTGACCTTGTCTGGCTGGGGTCATTGAGATTTCACTATTTGAGAAAAACCATAGAGGAACTTCTGATGCCTGCTGAAATGCTAAAAGGATGGATTTTTGTCCTGGATGCCCACTTCTCCTCCTAACCCTGATAGCAAGGAGCACAGGACCCAGCTTTGAATTTGGATTATGCCTGCGAGATCTCGGCCATGGTGAGCATGTGGAGGGCTGGTGCCCAACCATGGTTGCTGCTGTGCACTGGGCACTGTTCTGAGCTTAACACAAAATGACTCATTTAGTCTCATAACAGTGAGATGCAGTAGGTTTTCCTGTTGTTCACATTCTAGTAACAAGGGATCCGAAGCCCGGACACACTACCTAACACATGGCAGAGCTGGGGTACATCATATTATCGTGCAAGATTGTCATGAATCAAATTTGAATTTATTTTCCTTTATAATATTACGTAGGTCCTAATTCATAATACCTTCATTTTTTCCCCCAAATTTTTAGCCAGTTTTACTATTGCCATTGTTCAATAATTAGTACTTTTCCCATTGATTTAATTTGAAATACTACTTAAAAACTTTATATATCTTAGCCTTATATTTTGATTCTCTGGCCATACAGTGCTGGTTTAATTATTGTTTGTTTTTTATAATATGCTTACCTATTTGGTAAGGCAAAGCCTCATGCCTTATTTTTTCAGAATTCTCAAAGGTTGAACTGTAGATGAATTTCATAATCTCTTTGCCATCCTTAGAAGAACTCCTTTTAGACTTTTGACTGGATGTTTTAAAAGTTTCTATAATGCATGAGACTTTCTTAAACGTATGCCTGGCCATTTATATTTTGATTGTAATAGTGAACATGTTTCCAACAGTCTCACTGGGAACATCTCAGAGGCGATGACTGGCCAGGTCTCACCCAGCTCCATGTCCCTATTGTTGCTGCCACATTGGCCTAACTTACGCTCTTAATATTTGCCAAGTAAGTAAACACTGTTTTTACATACATGGTGTTTTTCCCTTTCCCTTCTTTTGGATTACTTTAGAGAGATTCCCAGGAGTGGAGTTGTGGGTCAAAGGAGATGAGCATTGTTACAGCTCCTAAAGGTGCTGTTTTGATAGATGATCCTTTACCAAAGGGCCTGGGACCCAGGGACTAAGAGAACTTGAGTCAGTTGTGCAATAAAGGTAAAGTTAGGGCACAAGGCCTTGCTCCTGTGTGCACCAGCCCCCCACCCCCCAGTAATGCACTTGCCTGCCAAATGTGCCCTTGATAGTGTGTGTTGAAATGACTGAACTTGTGATCAAATGACTTTACCAGGGGACTTTTCCGAGAAAAGGAGAGAGCTGGGCTTGCAGGGAAGGAAGTCCTGGGGTCCAAGAGAAGAAACAGGTGGCTGGGGCCTGTCTTCCCAAGAGTGGGTTTCTGGGTGTTGGGGACAAAAGCTGTGGGAGCAGCTGGGGCATCACATGGTTCTCAGCCAGCTGTCAGGGACTGAATTCCACCTCCAGCCACGTGAGGGTGGCCTGGCTTTCTTCTCTGAACGGGCACCTCGTGTAATGGCCCCTAAATGCACAGATGTCTGTGACAGCAGGGCTGTGCCCACCTAGCCCTCGTCTGCCCCTCATCCCCCCAGGACATTCTTGCGGCTGTGTAGGACCCAAATGGCTTTCCATGTGGTCTGTCATGTGGGGTTGGTGCCAGTTTGAACTGCGGTTTGAGCCCTCTTGAGGCAGTACCAGCTGCTGAATGTGAGGAGAGGATGAGTTGGGTCTTTGAGTGCTTCCCTGAATCCAAGGCACTGTGCTAGACACCGTGGACCACAGTGAGGCCAGCAGGTCTGGCCTCTGCCATCAGGAATGTAGACTAGTGACCAACACACAGGGAGTGTCCCCACCCCCATGGGAAGCTGCCCTGGGCCACATGACACTGTCACCTCCCCACTCAGAGGGTGGAGAGGACTTGCAGGCTTGGGTCAGGGAACCTCTCCTTCAGAGGTGGCATTTGCCTTGGGCTTTGAAGGATGAGCAGGAGTTGTGGGAGACTCGGGACATGGTCCTGGGAGCCTTCAGGCAGAGATACTGACTCCTGTTGGCTGCTTACCTGGCATCAGCTTTTGCTCTGCGGGGCTGTGGAGCTTGGCCTTGTCTCTGCCCTTCCAGCAGAAATGCAGTATCTGTCTGGCTCTCCAGAATTCGGGGATCGAGCATTTTCAAATGGTTGCTTGGGGGGAGGGCAGGTCCTGGTTCTCTGCATGGGGTAGTTGGGGATGTGGAGGTGCCTGGTTAAAGAAGGAAGTCTGAGTCATAAAGGTTGGTGGGAGGGAGCAGTGTTGGCTGCCCCACACCCCACGAACCCCGTGCTCTTGGCCTGCGTTTGAACCCCTAGGCCGTTTCCCACCCTCTGGGTTTCCCACCTACCTCGGCTCTCAAAATGAAACTTATTTCTCATCACGATCTAGGCCAGCACTGTTCAATACAAACAGAATGTGGGCCATGGTACATACTTTTAAGTTTTCAGGTACCCACATTGAACAGAAGAAACTGATTTTCATAAATGCATTTTATTTAAACCCAGTGTATCCAAAACATTTCACCCTGTGGTGCCAGCTGCACCTCACATGCTCAGTAGCCACGTGCAGCTGCTGGATGGGGCGGATCTAGACAAGCTCTACATGTTGGAGCAAGACTTGGGCAGCGAAGAGACTAGTTTCGGACACTACATCTGCTAGGACTCAGTCAGTCTCTGTGTCAGGAAAAGATACCCAATGGAAAACCCAGAGGCTTCTGGGTTTCTGCGGATTTTACATTTCTTGCTTTTGGCCCTGCCCTGCCCTCTCCCTCCTGTGTGTTTCTGGGTTAGGGCTTCAGCTTCCTGAGAGCAGGGCCTTCCTGCCTCCCCGATGCCAGCACACACCCTGGCCACGTGCTCATAGCACCGGCCTTTCCTGAGCTCCTGGGGATGGAAGTCAGATGCTTACAGTGGTTTCTAGATTTTTTTTTTTTTTTTAAAGGAAAGGAACCCGTTAATCACTGTCTCGAGGTGTTTGCCGCCTTATTGGCCAGGTTTCTGTAACATGAATAATGTGTCAGATGTTGAAAGCATGTGATCCAAAAGGGTTTTTGTCCCAGGAATTTAGTGAGAGATGATTAAGAGATTACTAATTGTCCCCTAGTTAGATTTATTATGCAGAGATGTGAAGGGGGGAGGTTTTCATGTAAAAAGCAGATTTTTCACGGTGCCTGTATTGCAGGAGACACCTGGAGAGTTTCGGGAGGGACCTGACCCAGGGAGTGTGCGCCTGTGAGTGCTTTCTGGGTACAAATGGAAGAGCATGTACAGGCCGGGCGGGGAGGCGGGTGTTCGGACAGTCTCTGGTGGTCTTCTCCCTGGGGTGGGCATGGGAGCCAGGGAAGGGAGCTGGTGGGAGGACCAGGACACACATGCACGTGCGTGCGCACACACACACACATGCACATACACACTCCGCCCAGTTTCCTCCATGCTGGGAGACTGGGGGTCCATATGGGCCCTGTGAAAGGAGGAGGGATGAGGTGGGCTTTGGGCCCTGATGTTGGCTGCGGTTGTGTCTCCCAGCTGCTCTCCTCTCTCCCCTGGGAACGCCGGGTTCTCTTTTCCCTGCCTAGGGCCAGGCTGAGCCCCCACCAGCACTCACCCTCCGCTTCACGAGTCTCACAGATGGGCTAATCTCCCAGACCTGAACCCTATCCCCCCCCTTTTCAACAGCAGTGACATTGTCTAATCATGTCATTGTCCCGCTAGAAACTCTTGGGCCTGTCCCTGGGTGTCCCAGCCTCCCTTCCCCAGCTCGCCTGCCCCGGGGCCTTTGCACACACTCCTCTCGGCCTTGTCCTTCTGGCCACTGCCTGCTTCCCCTTTCACATCAAGCACCTGTGTCCCTTCATGAGTATCTGTTCATTTCTTATTCAACAGATACTGATCTCTCCTGTGTGTCTGGCACTGAGCTAGATGCCTGAAAAATGGAGGCATCTGGGAGTTGATGTTTATTGGAGAAGTTAGACGTTAAGCCCAAACTGTGGACCGTTCAATTCTGCAGGTGACAGGTTTCCTGAACTTGGAGTACCATCCCCTTGCCCCCACCTCCTCTGCTTGGTTAGGTGTCTGCTCGGTGCTTTCCAGTCCCAGCAGCCGCCTCGCTCCTCTGACCTCTGTTATAGCACCTGACACACTCTCAAAACCACTGGTTGGTTTTCCTATATCTCTCGTGAGGCCAAGCCCTGAGTCCAGGCACCTGTCATTCCTGATAGTAAATGTCAGTAGTAATGTTGGCTGATGGTCGGATGACATGATGGCTTGTCTGACAGGTGGAAGAACTTTCTGTAAGATACCCAGAGATCCTTTATGAGGATACCTGGACTGTATGAGCAAGTGTCACTAGAAAGGCCCCCAGGTTGTAGCACCAGAGGCTGTCCTGTGCTTGCGGAAGGGAGCAGTTTCCCACATGCCTCTGACCCTGGAACCACTGTGCCTGATGCCTGTCCACCTCCCTGGATGCCAGTGTTGCTGAGGTTCCTTCTCGAGGCTCCTTTGTGGGGCCCACACCTGCCTTCTAGTCTGTTCACAGCTCCTTCATTTTTTGGTTTCCCTCCTAATCTTGGCTGAATTTTTTTTTAATGTACACGTAGTGAAATTCACACTTTGCCCTGTATGGTCTATGAGTGTGACAGATGCATAGACTCGTGTGTCTACCACCACAGACTGGATGCAGACAGCTCTTTCACCCCTAATCCTCCTGTGCTGTCCCTTCCAGTCCCTTCACCCCAAGCCCTGGCAACCACAGATTTTTCTGTGCTTATAATTTTGCATTTTAAAATGTCACATACATGGAATCACACAGTACGCAGCTTTTTGGACCTGGCTTCTTTCACACATGCATTTGCTGTTCATCTGTGTTGGGTGAATCAATGGTTTATTCTTTTTTTATTGAGAAATAGTATTCCAGCTTGGCTGGTTTGGCTCAGTGGTTAGAGCATCGGCCCAAAGACTGAAGAGTCCCGGGTTCAACTCCCAGTCAAGGGCACATACCTGGTTTGCAGGTTCAATCCCCAGCTCAAGTCAGGGCACGTGCAGGAGGCAACCAATCGATGTGTCTCTCTCACATTGATGTTTCTCTCTCTCCCTTCCCTCCCTCCCTTCCACTATCTCTAAAATCAATGCGAAAAAGATTTCCTCAGGAGAGGATAGGAAAAAATAGTATTCCATGGTATAGGTCTTGAAATTGAAATTTCTTGGACCTGTTCTTAACTGTCCCTTCCAGGTGGCAAAGGTGTTCAGTCCTCACGAGATGCCATTTTTTTTAAGCCCTTCGTTGTCTTGGTGGCCATAACACTCTTTTCCCTCTCTCTTTCTAGGCTCCTAATCGTCAGCTCATGACTTACTGGTTACAGGAGCTGCAGCAGAAGCGATGGGAATATTGCAATGGCCTCGACACGGTCAAGTGGGACAGCAGGACCTCCCCGACCCCCGGGGACTTTTCTAAGGGCCTTGTAGCCAGAAACACCACAGGTGAGTCAGAAATAGAAGAACCTGCCCGGCCAGACGTGGCTCAGCCGTTGAGCATCATCCTAGGATCCAGGAGATCGTGGTTCGATTCCCGGTCAGGGCACAGGCCCAGGTTGCGGGCTCCTCAATCCCCAGCAGGGGGCGAGCAGGAGGCAGCTGATCAATGACTCTCATCATTGATGTTTCTCTCTCTCTCTCCCTCTCCCTTCCTCTCTCTGAAATCAATAAAGATATATTTTTTAAAAGAGAGAAAGAAATAGAGGGACCTGTGTCGGTTCTTTGTGTATTGCCATTTGACACAGCAAGTCAGCACAGCAGGGAAACTCAGAGTAGGGATCACAGGGATGATCCCTTGTGCGCGGGCAGCTTTCCATACTGACCGAGTGCTTCCGTGTCCAGAGTGGTATTCAGGCCTAGGAATGACCTTGGGAGTTGGGCAAGGCCAGTGCCCAGCATCCTGCAGAGGACACAGCTGAGGTCAGCAGGTAATGTGCATGCTGGTGAAATTCCCATGGGACTCCAGTTGCTTCCTGCCTACCTGGAGGCACAGTACCCACACCTACACCTTCATTCCTTTTTTTATTATTATTGATTTCAGAGAGAGGAAGGGAGGGAGAGAGAGAGATAGAAACATCAATGATGGGGAGTCATCGATCACCTCCCTCCTGCACACCCCCTACTAGGGATCAAGCCCAAAACCCCAGCATGTGCCCTGACCCGGAATCGAACCGTGACCTCCTGGATCCTAGGTCAATGCTCAACCGCTGAGCCACACTGGCCGGGCCTGCATAGTGCTTTTGATCAAAAGAAGTGCAATAACTCAGTACTGAAGCCACTTAGACCGTGTGGAAACCTCAGAGAAATGGGTAGGATGGGCACAGAGGTCCTGGTTTGCCTCGATTCTTTTACTCTGAGGACGCTGCTTCTCTAACAGAGGCTCCGAGGTATCACCCTGAATGGGGGGCAGAGAGGTGGCTCCCGGCCCTGTGGTCCATACAGCATGTCCTTCCTTCTTTTAAACCAACAATGCTGTGGCCTGGGAGCAGAAGAAGACATCAGGAGCCCACATTTGGGTCTCTCCCTTGGTTTGGGGACTGTAAGTGGGAGTTTAGAGTCTGTGCCAATGACATTTACGCATCCATTCAGCTAGGAGGCACCCACGAGTGGCTTCACCCCTCTTCTCATGGAATTTCCAGTGAGCGGGTGTGAGGGGCCCGAGGGTACAGAGACCCATGAGTGGCTGAGCGCTGCTGTGGGTGGCCAGAGGCCTCTCTGAGGAGGTGGCAGCTACGCTGAGACCCGAAAGAGGAGCAGGACAGCCAGGGACGGGGGAGGAGGTTCAGGTGAGAGGACTGTCCTAGGTGGAGGGCAGTGGGGTGAGCCGAGCCTGGAGACACACCCAGGCTGGGGTTGAGGGCTCTTGACATCTGGGTTTGGGACTTTGGACTTTATCCTAAGAGCAGCGGAGCGTCTGAAGGTTTATGTGTAGAAATGACTAGTTTTAGACTGCCACCAACTTTTAGATAGCTTCTAAGAGCAAATAATAAAACTTTCGACCGCTGGGCAATTTGGGAGACTAAAATTATTCAGGAAGCCAGAAGGCTCAAGGAGGAAGTGGAGAAGAGACATGTGGACTGGCCCACTGGGAGCTCTCAGCCTTTCTGTTCTTTTTTTTTAATCTGCACCAGAGGATATTTTTCCGTTGCTTTTTCAGAGAGAGTGGAAGGGAGAGAGAGAGGGAGAGCGAGGGAGAGAGAAAGAGAAAGAGAGAGAGAGACATGAAAGAAACACATTGATTGGTTGCCTCCAACCAGGGCCAGGGATCAAGCCTGCAACCGAGGGACGTGCCCTTGGCCAGAATCAAACCTGGGACCCTTCATTCCACAGGCCGAGGCTCTAACCACTGAGCAAAACTGGCCAGGGTCCCCTCTCCTTTTTGGTGCTCAGATCACACTTGGAAGCTGTCTCTACTGACTACTCCTTCAGAGTCTGCATTTAACTCACTTTTGATAAAGAAAAAAATAGCATTTTCAGGTTAACCCTGCTCTGTCCTGCACCTCACAGTGGTGACATCCAGGCCCCTTTTGCCATCTTCTTTGACACGTGGGACCGGCACCTCCCCATGCTCTTTGCTCCTTTCTTGGACGACAGTGCATCCTGGGTTTGGCTTTACGGGAATTCTCCTGGAGCACTCGGCTCTGCTCTCTGCTGAGGCTGCTGGCAGGAGGCCCGGCCCCAGGGAGGCAGCAGGCTGGAGCAGGAGAGGAGGGAGACCCACCCAGGCAAGCCCCGGTGTGAGCACGGGTCCCCCCTGTGTCAGAGTGACCTCCTGTGGGAGGGGCTCGTGCAGATCTGGGAAACTGGGGCTGTCCGGGTCACACTGGAATTAAGAGGTTGTGCTGGGCCCTGGTCAGTTTGCTCAGTGGTTAGAACGTCAGCCTGCAGACTGAAGGGTCTTGGGTTCGATTCCTGTCAAGGGAGGGTACCTCAGTTGCAGGCTCGATACCTGTCCAGGTTGGGGCCCATTCAGAAGGCAACCAATCAATGTGTCTCTCTCACATCGATGTTTCTCTCTTTCTCTCTCTTCCTTCCACTCTCTCTGAAAAGCAAAGGAAAAAATATCCTCGGGTGGGGGTTTAAAAAAAAAAAAGCTGTGCTGGTATCAGAACCTAGGAAATGTAAACACGGTGGTCCAAAGCTCACTCAAAGGCGTCATTTAGGCATTTGAAAGTGCTTAAAAAGAACAGAGACGGTCTAACAGCAAACCCCTCAAGCGCAGATTTTCTGTCCTGCTGCCGCCGTCAGATAAAGCTCGCCAAGCACCGCTGAACCCAGCCAGTCCTCGTAAGGACGCCCGGAGAGCCCCGCTGTGTCCCGCTGTGTCCNATAAGGACGCCCGGGGAGCCCCGCTGTGTCCTCAGGCAGTCCCCTGACCGCTAACCTTAGCACATGTGTTGAGGAGAAGCCAGCAGCTCCGCTTTCATTTGAGTAAATCTCACGTGCTCTTAAAAACCCGAAAACCAGGAAAGAGAAAACAAGGACAGCAAAAACTGGGAAATTGCCTCTTTTACACATCAGATAATTGTATTTAGAAATGGCCTGTTTCGCCAACATCCTCCGTGGCCTCCAGTCCCTTTTCTCCACCCCACCCCCAGGGGCCCTACTTCCCCAGGAAGCATTTCCAGTGTGGGCGAGAGTTGCTGCAAGGTCGGGGGTTTTCTTGGTAATCATGGGGTTTTCTCTTGACAATGTGACCCCGCAGAGGGGCCGTCCTCACCTTGCTGCCAGGCCACACAGGAAGAAGGGGCTGGACTCCTGTTTATTTCCTGGCTTCGCTTAGAATTGTGGTGCTTCACCCCGGCCAGGTGGCTCAGTTGTTTCAAGCGTTGTCCCGATGCACCACGGTTGAGGGTTCGATCCCCGGTCAGGGTACATATAAGAATCAACCTCTGAATGCATAAATCTGGAATAACAAATTGATCTCTCTCTCTCTCTCTCTCAAAATCAATAAATACAAATAAAAGGAATTATAATGCTTTGCCCAGGAGGGGTCTGGGAAAGACCAGCCTTTGGGAAGCCGGGTGTCAGTTTTACCTTCCTGCCTCATCTGCACCACCCCCCC